GAACCGCACGTAACCGAACCAACCGCAGGGAGAAACAAAAGTAAAAAAACAAACTCCAACGCTTCTTTACAATTAGCTTCGGTTCCGAACCACCACGCATGACCGTTACACCGAGCCGAAATTTAAAAAGCATTCCCCAAGTTTCCACTCTGTTTTCCAACTCATAATCTCACGACATCCCAACCACCGTTTCAAAATCCACAAACCCCTCCTTCTTTCTCTCTCTAAATTCCCAGAATCACCTGAAAATGGTGTCCAAGATCGTCATCAAGAGAACGCCGACGAAATCGATCAAGGACTGCCGGAGCAGCAGCAGCCGCCGCCACCGACGCAAATCGCCGGCGAAGAAAGCCGCCGCCGCCGTCCTCGCCGCTGTCAACAAGTCGATCTTCACCTGCCACAAGCGCCTCATCAAGATCTTCTCCAAGCTGGCTCAGATAGGCACTCCGAATCGCAACAAAGGCTACAATATCCTCAAGAAAACGCCGGAATCTGACTCCAGATCGGCCCGATCCAAACCGGAAACCCTAGCAGTTCGCCGATCGCTCGCCTTCGACGGCCTTCTACCGCCGCCGACCTCACTGGAGAAGCGGACAGTGTTTCTCGACCTCGACGAGACGCTGGTCCACTCGCAGGCGGATCCGCCGCCGGAGAGGTTCGATTTCGTGGTGCGGCCGAGGATCGACGGCGAGGTCATGAACTTCTACGTGCTGAAGCGTCCCGGCGTGGACGAGTTGCTGGAGTGGCTGGCTGCAAAGTACGAGGTGGTGGTGTTCACGGCGGGGCTGAGGGAATACGCGTCGCTCGTGATCGACCGGCTCGACAGGAAGAGCCTAATTGCTCACCGGCTCTACCGCGACGCCTGCAAGGAGGTCGACGGGCGGCTCGTGAAGGACCTCTCGGAGTCGGGGAGGGATTTGAGGCGCGTGGTGATCGTGGACGACAATCCAAACTCCTACTCGTGCCAGCCGGAGAACGCCGTCCCGGTGAGGCCGTTCGTCGACGATCTAGGCGACCGCGAGCTCGGAAAATTGGTAGGGTTTTTTGAGGGATCTGATTGTTTTGATGACATGAGGGACGCTGTGAGGCATTATCTTGCTTATGGAAATGAAAAATTAGAGACTTTGCAATTGTAATCTCTTTTTCTCTCTTTTGGATGGGGAGTTGATTTGTATTGAGAATTCAATTTGTTGAACAAGTAATTGTTCAAATGTTAAGTGAAAGCATAATGAAACTCCAGGAATAGGAATAACATATTCTTTTTGACTCTTTCTTCTAACAAAATCATTCTGATTTATACCCTTTGTTGTCGAATTTTGTTTAAAAAGCTGATCATGGTGGAAATGATGGAAAATGAATTAATTATTAAAAAAAAAAAGATGATGAAAATGGATCGATACATTACTTGTTTAGTTGTTTACTCGGAATATTATCTTTAACAAACCCACAATTAAAAATAATGAGATTAACCAAACGAATTTTACAACTAGTTTAGGCTCGTTTATTTCACAGATTTGAGTTTAAAATTTGAGTTTTATTACAATAAAAGGCTCTAAAAAATAATCACATTTAACTTTTTTACTATAGTAAAAAATTTTCATGTCCCAATTTAAATTAAAAACTCAAATCTAAACGGCCGTAGTGTT